GGTGGTGAACCGCGGGGTGGTGCGCGGCGTGCGCGGCGGCCGCGGGGTGCGCCGTGGCGGCGGGCAGGGGCGCCGAGTGCGCCAGGCCGCCGCAGGCCGACGGGTGGAAGCCCGCGTGGTGGCCGCCGTAGATCTCGCTCACCAGTCGCTTCATCTCCTCCAGGGAGTTGGTGAGCATGAGGATGTAGTTGCGCGCCAGCAGCAGCGTGGCGATCTTGGAGAGCTTGCGCACCGACGGGCCGTGCGCGTACGGCATGACCTCGCGCAGCCCGTCCATGGCGATGTTGAGGTCGTGCATGCGCTTGCGTTCGCGGCTGTTGATCTTGAGGCGTAGCTGCTGCAGCTCGGGCTCCGTCATCTGCTTCTTGTCCTTCTTGGTGGACGACGCGGCCGCCGACGATGCGGACGACGAAGTGCTGGACGAGGCTGACTTGAAGCCGCCGCCGCCGCCGCCGCCCAGCTTGTCCCCGGGGTGCGCGCCCGCCGCGCCCATGGCGCCGCGCAGCTCTGCGCTCAGCTCCGGAGGGCCGTCGCTCGGCGTGGACGAGGACACCGTGCCCCCCGTGAAGCCGCTGCCGCCACTGCCTTTGCTCCGGGCCGGCAGAAAAAGGTCATCGGGCTCTGGTGACGACGGGCGACTGGACACCAGGCTGGCGTCCGAGTCCATGGCCCCGAGGGATAGTCGCAGCTCTCGCGGGGTCCTCCCTCCCTCCCTCGGCCCTCGGAGCTTTGCGCACGCCTCCTGCGGAGAGGAGAAGAAACAGAAGAGAGAGATCTAGATCGAGGTCGAGGCACTCAGAAAAAGAGAGAAAGAGAGAGAGAGAGAGAAGCTGCTCCCGCCTGCACCGCAGCGTGCGGTCCAGGTGCGGGTGGCCGGTCGTTTTGTGTCCACCTCGCTTCCTTCTAGCGGCAGGCAGGTGCGCACGAAGTAACCTCTCTCTTTCTCTCCCCACTTCCTCAGCTCTCATCCACAGGTTGTTTTATTCCAGGGAGCATTGGAGCCCCTCAGAGAGGGTGGCCTTCTGGATGCCTTCAATTAGGAATCGGGAGGCCGAATCCCCAGGGCTGGAATGGCAAGTGAGGGTTTTTCTTTGGGAGGACGGAGATCTAAATAGAGAAGTATTTATTTGGTTTCTCAAACGCATCGACCTTATCTCCATCGACACCGAGCAACAAACACACAGGCACCCGGCGCCCGCGAGCCTAGATAACGTGCGTCGCGTCCGGGGACCGCGGGGAGCTTGCCAGCCGAGCGGGACTTGGGCAGGAGCTGTGGTCGCTTCGACTTCTGGCTTTTGGGGGAAGGGGGTGCTGCGGTGAGTGTGGGGAGGGTCAGAGCGGCGAAGCCACTCAGGGGAACCGGCGGGCAGGGGCGGGATCGGGGCCCTCTCTAACCGAGCTTCCTGGGTCCCTTGCGAGTTGAGGGGCGTCAGTCCCTGGGATACAGGCTGGGGCTGCTGGGAGGGGGGGGGGGCGGGGACACTTACTGTGGATGCACTTAGAGGAGCTCCTTCCCAAAAGCCGCAGTGGAGAACCGGGCTCCGGGCGGTGATGTCGCGTTGGTCTATAATAAGCATCCGCACCTTTCGGGGCTCCGCCGGTTTTTTATAGCCCGGTGGCGGCGGCGACCGCGGCGGCGGTGGCCGAGGCGGGGGCGGGGAACAATGTGCGGGTCCTGGAGGGGCCGCCGCGCCAATGAGCTGGGCCCGCCCGGGGGGCTGGGAAGCTGATGTCATCCGGGCTAATTCCGCTCAATGAAACTCGCCCGGCCCGCACACGCCTCCTCCCTGCGCACAGCCAATGGGCGTCGGCGGCCGGGAGATTCTTGGGGAGGGACTGGAGGAGGAACCCGAGGAGGGGGTGTGCGAGGCGAGCAGGAGGAGGAGGAGGGGTGGGGAGGGCTTGCCGGGGAAGTACCGAGGGCAGAATGCAGTTGAGATAGAGAGGGAGCGTTGTCAAATTTCTATAAAAATACGGTGACCACAGAGTCAGGCTGGAGGATGGCGTGGGCTGGGGGTTCTGCCGACGAACTAACCTGATACCCAAAGCGATCGGATCTTTGGGGATGCGCACGAATAACCCTGGCGATTCAGGCGCTGGGGCTGGAGTCTCCTCCTTTGCTTTTCATCTCCCTCTCTCTCTGGGTTCTCGTTGCCCGCCCCCCCCCCCCATCTCAAGCGTTTCATCAACACGGGGGCATTTGGAACCCCAAGGGTAAACGACAACCAGGCACAAGTTAAGCACGCTCCTCCGCGGGCGGCTGGTAGCGCCCCCAGCTGGGGGCAGGGCCTCGCGAGGCAGAGGGCAGGGAAGGACCTGGAGCACCTGCTCCAGAATGGCGTTTTGAAAGAAAGCTCAACTCTTCGTAAAGTCGGGAAGGCGTGGACACAGGGAGGAGGTGTTTCCGCACAGTAACCGCGCTAACAGAAGGGCAGAGTCTAGCGCCCAAAGTGCCGCGCCCGCCCTCCGTGTCTTAGCTCTGGAACCGATGGTGGTCTTTTCAGCATCACGCTTGTGGTCGTCTCCACAAAATGGGAAAACGAGGTAGGAGGGAAACGCTGGTTTGTCTGAAAAAAAAAAAGAAGAAGAAAAAGAAAAAGGAAAGAAAAAAAAAAGAGAGAGAGAGAAAAAGGTCGAAGGCCTGGGCAAAGACTTCTCCAGGCTTTGGGCCAGACAGTGAGATCCAGCTCCTTGCGGCTGCATTCAGACCCCTTTCACCAATCGCAGCTTGGCTGCTGAGCCCGGAAACGCTTGCCCATCAGGGATGAAACCTGGTCTTAGAGAAGCAGCTAGCTGAGGTAGTTTAGCGGCACTGACCCGCTCATCCATTTTACAGATGGGAAAATCCGGAGACCCTGTCTACAGCAAGCCCACAGACAACACTGCTAAGTCTTTACCGCGCAGATAACCGGCGTGGGCGGTTCCTGAGCAGTAGTGGCGGCCGTGTGTCTCTAACCTTTTCCCTAAGCTGGATTCCTTCCATCTGTACATTTCCAGCACGGAAGGTTGGTTCTGCAGACCGCGGACGCTAGCCGTTAATACCGCGCACACACATACACAAACACACCCCGGCCCTCCCTCCCAGGGAGTGTTATGGCCTCTGTTTATGTGGTTGTTTAGGAACTTTTAATTTGCACGCACGGCTTGAAAAACAAAGTCGTTCGCCTTCGCGTTGGGAAGGCACGAAATAAACGAATACAAAAATAAACCCACGGGATGGCTCCCAGTTTCTGGGTAAGACTCTGATAGAAACCTCGCGGGCTCTCGCCTTCGCCCCAATCTTGTACTTTCTGGAGCATTATTTTTCAACCCGTGTGTTTCCCAGCTGGCTCTGCAGCCATCCGTTAAATATGTATTTAAAACATGAAGAACTGAAGCGTGGAGATATGTCGTCCAACGGTTGCGGAGGATGACCCATAACCGTTGAATTAGGAGAATCTGTCGCATGGTCGAACGCTGCGGGGGGGGGGGGCCCCAGGGGGGAGCAGAAAGAGCTAGAGTATTTAGAGGATCGTTCCTTTGGGCCTCCCCGGCCGCAGGCAGTGAGGACATTCGTGGGAATGTGAGCTGCGGGCCACCAGCCGGGGCGTGGGCTTGTGCGCACGCCAGTGTATCTAATAAACACCGGCAGGCGCACTGTGCGCCCGCCTGGGTTGCAGACGCTGAGGTTAGTCCAGACGGCGGCGGCGGCACGTGTCCTGGAGCCCCGGTTCCTTCTTTTGTTGCTTGTCACCGGCCACTGTCCGCGCCAGAGTGCGCGCCCTGGGGTTCTTTCCGCGCTTGCTCTAGTTGAGGGGTCTGTTCTCGCACCATGCGCACTTAGAAACAGGGAAGGCAGAGTCCAGAGGTAGGAGAGCTGGCTTATTGGCCAGGTTCCCGCGTGAACGCCCATACGGACGCTCCAGGCCCCAGCCCCGGGCAGTGGTGGCTGTTCTGGGCAGCGCAGCGGCACCTCGCGGTCCTGACTCCCGACGCCCGGAGCTTGGGCTGGCAGCCCCAGGCTGAGGACCCCTTCTCCCGGCAGCATCCCCGCAACATTCCGTGGTTGCCAGAAAGTCGCTCAGGAGGTAGGGGCCCCCTGTGGCCCCCTGCGCTCCTTTAGTCCAGGCCAAAACGGTCGCCGGACCCGTCTCTCTGGGTCTCCGAGTCCATCTACCCGCTCCGCGAAGAATGCAAAACGGGAGCCCGGCCCCTGGCGCCTGCCCTCGTGCGTCCGGACGCCCCCTGGCATTTGCTCTGCTCTTGAGCCGGGCGCCCGGCGTGCACGGCCTGGGTGCGTCCCGGGCCACGCCGCAGCCCCTTTCCGGGAAATTGAGTGCTCACTTTGCCGAAGCTAATCGGCCCGGCTCCGGGCGTCCCTGGCTGGCCCGGGCGTCCAGAAGCTGTCGGCCTCCTCCGTCAAAACGGAAGACGTGTTTTTCCCTCTCCTTTGTGCTTCCCTCCCACAAAAGGCCGGGTGAGCGGCCGGCCTTTGCTCAGTCGCCGGGCGGCCCGGGAGGAGTTTGTGCCAAATCCGCCGGGGCGGGCTCGCGCGGGGCTCTAAGGGCTCAGACCTCCCACTGCTTGCCGGGTCCCTCCCGGGCCATTCTTTCGCGGTCTCGCCTTTCCCTTCACAAGTTCCTGCACACTTTCAGGCAGCGGCTCAGCCAGACTGCCAAGGACAGCAGCGGCCTTGCTCGGGGTTGAGCCGGGACCGATGGGAGGAGGCGAGGCTGCGGGCACCGGAAAAGAAAGCAAATTAAAAAAAGCCGTTGGGCCATCGCTCCAGGCCCGGAAACCAGGAGGGATGAGGAATGGTGGCTTTTGGCAACGATGGGGGGGGGGGGGGGGGGGGAGCGATGAGACCCCCTCAGGAGAACTCTGCAAACAAATGGCCTGTCTTCCTTGTAAAACTCAGACCCCGGAGCCGTCCACGGTATCCCTGTCCGGGGACCCAGCGCCGAGCATCGGGCAGGACACGTGGAAGGTGCTTGCTAAATACTTCTGAATGCACACGCCTGCAGAGGTGCACACGGGCTGGTGTGAGACACGATTCGTAAAATACATGTAACGTTCTGTGTACAGGGCAGACCATGAGGTCTGTAATCTGGACTGTTGGAATATGGGAACCTTTAGAATGAATGACAAGGGCAGTGACTCCCATCTAATGGCCACCTCAAGGCGAGTTAAGTTGGGCCAGACGCTTAGTGGGCCTTGACAGGCTTCATCTCATTGAATCTCTCGCTGATCCTGGGAGGGTCGTTTACTTACTTTGCTCACTCCCATTTTACAGACTGGGAAAACTGACCCTGGAGGGCGGTATGGCCATTTGGTCAAGGTCCTGGGAGCAGAGAAGCAGGTCCAGGCAGAGAGCGTGAGGGCAGGCATCAGAGACATCTTGAGTTGTCTGTTTTCAGTCTCAGATTCTCATCCCTAAAATGGGTTTCTAGAAGCTACTTGACCTCAAAAGGTATGTCTGCTGCGAGATTTGGAGGAACGAGGGAAAGTCAAATGATACCCTCCCTTGGAAGTTTCTCTATTTTGTTAATACTCATGTCATGGGAGCCCTGAGTCGCTGAGAATATGGAGGAACTCGGCCCAGTCAGAAGAGGCTCAGCCTGGGTAGAATCTGGAAGGAATGCCCAGGGGCTTGGGAGAAGGGGTGCTGGGAAAGCCAAAGGGAAATGACAAACCAAAAATCCCCCCCCAAAGAACCCCCCAAACTAATAATAGCCCCTTCTCCCTAGAGAGCTCCACCCTTTGAATCACCCACCTCCACTGAGGTAGCAATGGCTGCCATCTGCCCCTAAGGATCAGCGACATTGAAGTCAACCCGGTGTCCCAAGTTCACCGTGGAACAAAGTTGAGGTAGGACAGAGGGGCGACCAGGAACTAACTTCATAGCTCCCATTTGTTTATCTCACCCAACTTGTGCAACGGGCCCTTCGGTGTTTAGAAGGAGGCCCGCTGTTCCCATTTTACAGATGAAGATATTGAAGGTTAGAGATCAAGGCAGGGTCTGGGTTCCACCTCCAGCCCACTGGATCCCAAGTCCCAGGGGCCTTGATGCGTCAGTCCTGGGTTTCCATTTGCTCCCTCTCCTCTTTCCTGAGACTCTAGGCGCCTCCCCTTTCCCCCTCCACCACCCCTGCCCCCCCCCACCATGCAGAAATCCAGCTCGAGGAAGATCGGGGTGAACAAGTTGGGGAGCACGAGTGGGAGTGTCCCTGATCGGGTAGCTGGCCCTGAGGTGAGGTGAGCTTCACTCGGGTATAGGGTGGCACGGGCAGGACAGGAGGGACCTAGAAACCCCTGATCCGATCTGGGGCTGAGACCCTGGGTAAGAGGAAGAGGCGGGCGTGGGAGCGCAGGAGAGAGTCTTCTAGGCTACAGGTGCCAACCGCGAGCGGCGGATTCCGAGGCTGGACCTGCGTGCGCTCCCAGCTCCCTGCACCGCCGTGGGGCCTGCAGCGGAGGCAGCTGCAGGCGCGCAGGGCGCGGGGCCTCTCACCTCCGAGTGCCTGTTGTTCAGCTCCAAACACGGGGTAAATGACCTTCCTTGCTGCATCGGAAAAATGTAGCAGTTGGACGCCTCCCCGTAGCCTTCAGGATCCCGTCCCGGCCCTTGACCTCGGCCTCCGGGTCCTAACCGGATCTCTGCCGGCTTCTCAGGGTCTCCCGCTCCCTCTCCCCCTTTCTCAGGACCCGGAGCATCTGTCTGTCCGGGGCTCTGCCCTTTCCCCACGTTAGCCCACGGCTCCCCGACCCCTGC